TTGCTACCAAAATAGGCAACACCACTTCAGAAAGGAAGAGAAAAAAAAAAAAAAACAAAACTAAACCCAGGGCTTCACGGGGAAAGCACTTGCAGCCTCAGAGTTTCTATAAGCACGTTGTCGTGCCTGCCAGCCCAGCCAGCGTTCGGTCCGTGGTAAAGCCAGTTTTGCCCGGGGAGGTGGTGGTCCCGCAGGGATGCTCCTCGCTGCTCCATCCCTGTGGCAGCATGGTCTGCAGCCGCCTCCTGCGATGGGGAGCCCAGCACACAGGGATGGTTCCATCGTCACCATCACTCCTTCTCCATCCTCTTTTTTTTTTTTCTTTTCCCCTGGAAATATTAAGCCGAGCTGGGTTTGAAGCCTGAGAGCACTTCGGCAATGCTTCGTACATCTCAGCACGGTTAGCTCCAGGTTATTTATCACATTTTTTCCCTAGGATGCAAAACATCCCAAGCTCATCTCAAAGGCCTTATATTTACCAGCATCTGCTGGGTTGCAGCTGACCCCGATCGGGAGGCCACGAGGAGCTTCCTTGCAAGGAAACAGGTCTGGCGTGGGCTCAGCACAACCCCTACAGCCGTTCAGAGCCGTGGTGGCAGAGCAAAGAGGCGATTCCAGCCCATTGATCGCGGGGAAGACCGTCATCTTCTCTGGTCCCCATCCCATCGGATACCCACGTGGAAGGAGCCGGACCAGGCAGTGCCTTTGCAGAGCAACCGGTGGGTCCCTGGGGAGCGGATGGCTCTTGCATCGCCTAAAAGAGCCTGCGCCTGGCAGGAAAACGCTTCTAAACCAGAAGTGGGTCACACTTACAAGTTGTAGGGGATCCGTGTGCCAGCGTGGCTTGCATTTCGGAGCGGTGGTTTCCTCTCTTTGTTCGTCCGGCTCGCACCGCCGCGGCACTCAGAAAGGCAGGCGTGCCTCTGGCCACCTCCTGGAATCTTATCTTACCCTAGAAGAATATATTAGATTTCCTTTTTAAATTAAAGCTTAATATTTTTGTAATAAAAAAAAAAAAGAGGCTTGAGTGTAAGGTTATAAACTCACACTTGGTTTTCTTCGGCTGAAGTTAAAGCACGTGTGGACCATTTATTTTAGCAAAGAGACTGAAGGCTTGTCCCAGCTCGGCCGTCGGCAGCCCTGGGTTCACCTTGGACCATCCAAAAAGCACACAGGATTGTCAAAAAGCAGGGAAGGACCTACAGTAAACCGACACTTTGAAAATCATTAGCTACATCCTCTATTTCAAGAAACTGAGGGCAAGAACACAAGCAGCAGCATTAATAAATAGGTGCATTTATTAATCCCCTTTCTGAGGGTTACAAATTAAAAGAGGGAGAGGTGTGTGCATGCCAGGCAGGTGCCATCCCGGGGTTCTCAGCATTTTTGAGCCTGAGTGCTGATGAAAACTGGTAAGAGGGTTTTCAAGAAACTGTGTTGCTCACCGGTGTCTGTTACAGCCAGAAGGGCTTAAGCAGAGCCTAGCTAGGCAAGTGCTAAGAGCTCTTAAATAATCTCTATCTGGTACCAAGATTAGCTGGGGTGGTTTCAAAGAGCTGGTGAGTTTTTCTGCTTGTAGCATCCTTTGCAGAGGAATTAACCCTGCCCCATCTTGTGAAGTTGTGTGAATTGACTCACACAGTAAAAATGCTTGTGGTTGAGTAAAACGTGGTCTGTTGGACTCCAGCGTTGCGTTATCTCAGGGAAAGAAGTGGAACTAATTTTTATATGTTGCACTGGATGATTTCTAATTGTTCCTGGCCATCCTGTGGAGTTCATTATTTCTCCTCCAGCCGACACAGGCTTCTAATTAGGGGACATAAAATTAAGATGGAAGAGCAGCAGTTTGCAAGGGTATTGCTGCTCAGGAAGGAAGCTGGGCTGGATTTAAGCCAAAAATAGCCTCTCATTTGCAAGATTTTGGTGGGGAGAGAATGGCTTAAACGCTGCAGGGTACCAGCTGCTGCCTACACCCTGTAAGAGGGAGGACTAACAGAGCAGCCCTTAGCCTCCTAAAAAGGGGCAATTAGCTCCCGTCTTCCTTGCCTGTTCCCCTCCATCTCTCATTCATTCAAGAGGCACAAATATTTCCTAAACCAGAGATTTTCCTACAACAAATGCGGGGTGGCTTCTGTCACCCCAGCCATGCGACCACGGCGGGGGCAGCAGGCACAGAAGGGGCTCTGGGCAGTGCCGCTGTGATGCTGAGCCCTGCTGATGCGTTTCAACGGATTCATCAGGTTTTTTCCCATATTTCCGCCGTAATTATTTTTTTTTAATGCTAAATATTTTTTTTTTCTCCTGGGAGGGTGATGTGACATCTACAGAGCCCCCTTATGGTGCTGCTTTTGGGGTGCAATCGCAAAGCCAAGAGCTGGAATAGCTTGGCCAAGACCTTCTTAAATCCATCTATTTCCCCATCAGGATGCATCACAACTTTAGGAAATATAAGACCGCTCTGAAAACAATCCCCTGTCCTCATTGACATGCTTTTCTGGCAGGAGACTTCTGGAAGATGTTTCTATAGCTATTTAATGGGAGGGGAACAAATTCTTCACCATAAGCCATCCCCTTGTTTCCCTGTGCGGCGTGGTGTTTGTACTATGTGCTGGTAGAAGAAGATGCTTTCAGAAATGGGAACAATTTAGACGTTGCAGAAATCTGCAGGTTTTTGGCCTCATCCATCAGCTGCGTGTGGCACCAGCTGCTTTTTACAGGTGCTTAATAAAAGCAAACAAGGTCTGGTGTTTTTCTCTCCCCTCCTTTTATAACCCCACTACTTGCTCATTTTCATTCCACTTCTGGTCAGCAGGGATGGCTTTGATGGTGGGTTTTCCTCCGGGCTTTAGCTGGGAATTAAACTTTTACAGCAGAGTACAACTGGCTGGGGGTTTTCCACCAAGACTCATTTATATTTGGAAATAACAAATGGATGAGCCGGAGGAGTGGTTTTGATGAATTCCTGCCAGTGGAAAAAAGGGGGTTAGGGAGCTTTGGTGCTTTAGGAGGAAAAGCAGCGAGAACGATGAATTTCCCCCGGGTTTTGTACAGAGTTAAGAAATTTGATTTTGAAAGAAAAATTGAAAAGTTTTTGCTTCAGTTTCATATGGGCTGAAAGGTCATCTTAAGCCCTCTGCCCACAGGTTTCCCTGGAGCAGAAAAACTGCTTTTCAGATCATCTACCCCGCAATGAAGCTTACAGCCACTAATTTTGAGAAATGAGTGTCTTTCTGCAGAATTTGCTCTTGTCTCTAGAAATGAATCCTTTGTTAACAGACCAGTGCAGATGTTTTGTTAGCCGTCACGATGTGAACCCCACACCTGTACCCAGGGGCGCGCTGAAAATAGCAGCGTTGGCTTGGGTTTGCTGCAAACCAAAAAGGACCTTCCCGTAGCACTGGATCCAGAACTTGTCCCAGTTATCCCAGCAGGTGATGAGACACGGCTCGGCTGAGCGACGGCTAAATCCAGAGATTTTTTTGGTCTCAGTTATCAGGAAACAGCCCCCTTGAAGTTCAACTAATTTCACTGAGAGTAACTGCAATAAAACATTAAACAAGTGTTTTACATCCTAAGTCCGTACATTAAAATACATTAGCTGCATTTGGGGTTTAACCAGCAGTTTAGTGACTTTGCGAGTGATGGAATTTGAATTTTGTTAAGCCAACAGACCAATCTTTTCATATATTTTTCATTACAGGAAACAAAGATAGTTCGTCCATATCCATCTTTTCCTCTAAATACCGTGTATTACCCCTACTAACCAACAGACCCAAGAAAAAGATACCTAAATCTTTAAGGAGATAACTAAAAATGAATCAGATGGTACAGAAGAACAGCAGTGAAAAATGGAGACTATTCAGTAAAAATTTTATTTAAAAATCTATTCAAGTTGCAACACTTCTACCAAAAAGTGTCAGAAGATCTATGATTTGGGGTTTTTTAATACTTTAGCCTACATAAGGCATATTTCTGTACTTGACTGAAAGGCAAGTAAATACCTACCCCCTGTAAAGCCTTTCTGGAGAAATAACTCCAAATCACAGGAGTTGGTGCATCGCTTTTTTCCTAGCGGTGTTAAAAGTTATTTGTTAAAAACAAATTGAACTTGGTGGTATCAAAATTTCAGCCAGGAAGTACAAACCCATCTACAACTGGGAAGGAAAAACAAATCCAAAGCTTTCCAAAGATCATTTTTGGGGGGATTCAGCCTCACCTCTTAGTCGTGGGTGTATTTTCATGGTTGCTTTGGGTGTTTGCTTTTGTGGAGGGTTAAAAGGCGCATGCTTGGAAGCACACGTGATGGGCAGCTGAGCTGGGATGCTCTCGTTGCTGTTGATAGCTCAACTAAATGCAAGATCTTAGTAGGACTCAACAGGGCTTAGACATTTCTATGGATGACAAGTACCTCCGTGATGACGTTAGGCAGATGTGTAAATGCTCGTGCTTCAGTGCATAAGCCAAGTCCTAACCCAAAGGGAGGGACAGAGAAGCTGCCCCTGGGTCTGTGTGAGGACATTCCCGTCCTGGGGATTTTTATGCCTTTCCCAGAAAGATACAGGTCCGGATGATTCTAGCGGGGCGAGTTTCATGGCGAGAGGCAGCAGCCAAGCACTCGGCGCTTTCGCGTGCTCAGGTTTGCTGTCGGTACATGACTCTGCATGGGGAAAACCTCCAGAGCTGCTCAATTTTTTTAATTTTTTTTTTTTTTTTTCCTAGAGGTGCAATCCACGCAACGCCTTTCCTTAAGCAACCCGACGTAGCTCATGTAACCCCATCTCCTTGCAGGTACTCCCATCCCCTTTGCTTCCCGGGAGGCAAAGCGAAGAGCTCAGGGTAGGGTCCAGCTAGCCGCGGGCACTGCAAAGCCATCAGCAAGGCACTGTGGCCAACCACCACGCATTTTATAATTTCATTGAATTTTTTTCGGGGGACTCTGCTGCATCCCGGGCCGCGAGGGGGGAATAACCTCTTTGATTTTTTTTTTTTTTTTTTTCCAGTTCTCTCAGGCCAGACACACCACAGCCCTTTGAAACGCTCTGTGTCCCTTACCCCACCCATGAATGTGCCAAACCAACCTCTAGGACATGGATGGATGTCTCATGAGGACTTACGAGCTAGAGGACCCCAGTGCATCCCTTCCGATCATGCCCCCCTGTCTCCACAAAGCAGTGTAGCCTCTTCGGGAAGTGGTGGGAGTGAACATTTAGAAGATCAGCCTTCCGCTCGTAACACATTCCAGGAGGAAGGGAGTGGGATGAAAGGTGAGTGAAAAACCAGATGCCTCCCCCTCCCCATCCCCAGCACCCAGAGGCAGGAGGGGAAAAGCCTTTTTCCCGGCAGCGCGGGGCTCGGTTGGCGGTTTTGGGCGAGAGTCCTCGTAACCAAACGGGGCCTTACGGCGTTTCTTCCCGGCTTAGGAATTTAGGTTTAGGGGAATAAGTTAGGTTTTCTTTGAAGCAGCGGCTGGTCCTGATCTGACGTCTTACAGTTGGGTGCCGGTGGGCTGGTTTTGCCCCAAAATCCTGCAAGCTGCCAGCTTTCCAAAAAGCTGGATTTTTGCCATAGCCTGGGGCTTTTGGCTGCGAGTTGTGCTCTTTTCTCTCTCTTTTTTATTACGGTGGAAAGTAGCTTAGCATAAGTTTAGCAAGCCACGTGAGATTCACCATTGCGGTGTTTGGTACCCACCAAGTATTTGGGGAAGTTTCGGCTTAGGATACTTGTTTGCAGCGAATTTATCCTGTGTATTTCAGTTGTTTTTCCCATTACGCCTGCATTTCACGGAGACTCTAAGCAATAAATGTATGTGATCCTGTTGGTAAACAAGGCAGAAACGAAACCCTATTGCTGCAGTCAAAGATGAGGCGCAAACTTCAGGCTGTAGCGGAATAAATAGATAAAAACTGGGCAAACACACAGGCTGTATATTCCTGTGAACAGACAAGATGACTGAAAATGAACCCGCAGCCATCAGAGACTGATTTAAACAACTGCAGTTTTCAGTAATGCAAAGCAACTGAACTGGGTAAAGACCGATGATGTATCAGAATAAGGGACTAATTGTATTTTTTAAATAGTCACAAGGTCTGATTTTATTCTAATTACAGACAAATCTAGATAAGTGTAAATCTCTGTAACGTGGAACGGCGTTTGACTTGGCACTGTATGACTTAGATGTGCGTGAAACAAACCGGCGGGCAGGCTCGGCAGGGTCACCACGAGCGTGTTGAAGACTAAGCTGCGATCAGCGTGAAGGGTCCCCAAGGCTTTCCATGCCTGGGGCCGGATCCTGCGGTCTGTCAGGCCAGGGAGACCCTCGTTGGGAGCAAGCGGTGCAGAGGGGTCTGTTTAACACTTCAGTGTTTCTCCGGGTTTCTGCCGTGGAGCTGGCAGGGAGACCGTGGGGAGCTTGGCTCCCCGTCATCCACAGCTGCAGCTCCGGGACCTGCGTGGGTAGAAACTTCCCCGTGCAATGCAAATCAATCCGTACAGCCAAATCCGCAAAACCCAAAGGCGCTATTGCCCAGGTCGTCCACATGCAATAATCAATTAAATAAACTCTGCATATTAGGACAGCCCGTTGGAGCTGCGGGGAAGGTGGCTGCCCTTCCTCGGGCCATCCCTTCCCGGGCGTCCTCCTTCTCTGGAAGCAGGTTTGCAAACATCTAAACCTGATTCCCTCCATTGCCGAGTCAGCCAGTTTGCTTTTGTCCCGCTGTCCGGGGACGTGCGAAACAGATGTCTGCAGCCTCTGGTGTCTACGACTGTCGTGTCCTTCCCCCCCCTCTCCGCTGTATTTTCTTCAGACTGAAGCAATCCAGTTTCTTCCCAGATGGTGTTTTCTAAACTTAGGGTTGTTGTCGCTTCTCTCCGCTGGCTTTTTTCCAGAAAGTCCATATTTTATTGAAGGTGTGTTGCCCAAAACTGGACTCGGGAGCAGAGCAGAGACTTGCTTGCCGTACAGCCAGCGTTCCTGTGGCTGTATAGCTCATCGTCCTCAAATAACACACCGCTGAGGGCTGCGTGTGACCCATTGTATCCCCACAGCTTTCCTAAAAAAAAAAAATGTACTGCCCGTTCCCTGCCCTCGCTTCGTGCCGTTTCTTGTTCCTACAGAAACGCACAACTTTGTGCATTTTTATTGGGTTGCATCTTATTTCATCCAGACCAGTTGCTCCGTTTGCCAAGTCCCTTCTCTGAATTGCAGCCACGTCTCCCCGAGCGCCTGCAGGCTCTTGGGGCTTGATGTCACCCATGCCTCTGGTCAGCCTCCAGGGCATCCAGGAGGATAGAGGGGAAAACAGAACCACAACAGACCCCCATCCAACATGGCTTAGCAGTTCATCTCCCCCAGTGTCCCCTGTTTCTCTCTTTTCCATCTATCTTCATGCTGAAGGAAAAGTGCCCTTTGCTTTTTTCCTGACCCCTGGTTTCTCCAGGGGGAAATACAGACACTTTGTTCCCTGCAGAGCCCGTCCATCTGTCTGTCCATCTCGTCTTGGGGCACAGCTCGGGGTGCACCGGGTTTGGGTAGAGCTGAGGGTTTCTGCTGCGAGTATGTCCATGGCTTAGCATGGTGTGCCATAAGGGCACTTCTGAAGATGTCCTGTGTATATATTGGCCTTTGTATATATATATAATGGCAGAGTGAATTGTTTTCCTTTTAAATTTCCATGCCGGTACCCAGATATACACGTGCCAGCCCAACTCTGGCATTTAATGCCTGTAGGTGACAATGTCAGTGAGCAGCGTGGAAGTCCTCGCTTTGCTGCTCACGTCAGGCACGGCGTTTCTGACAGCCGTGCCATGACTTTGCAATTAGCTCCCGGTAATCGGTGATTAAAGCGTAGCTCCACAGGCAGGCAGCTCACTGCTCCGTGGGGAGCGTTAGGAAATTTGACTTTCCAAGGACTACGAAATCGCCTTAGATGACCTTGCACCTCCCGGTTGCCTCTTCCCCGAGGGAAGGGGGAAAGCCCCACCACTGTTCCCCTGTGTGCTGGGGTGGTTCCTTCTCCCCAGCCCGCTCCCAGGATTGCCATCCCTGCTGGCAAAGGGGCTCTGGGACCGTCGTAGCTCCCCAAAATTAGGAGGTGGTCCAGGGAGGCTTGATGCAAAGGGAAGGAAGAGCTGCTTCTGCACTCTGACCCTCTGCAAAGGTTGGAGATGGGTTTTCTGCAGGGTTTAATGTCTTAATGAAGTTGCAGCTCTCTTCTGAAAATATCTCCATGGGTTTTGCCATCGGCACAGATGTGTGCCAAAGACGTGTCCCCAGGGGACGCGGGATCAGGTAGACTTTTATTGTGTCGTCACTAAAATGGCACGGTGGTGTGTTAAAATGAAGTTGAGTGTTGAGCCTGCCAGTCCCATGCTGGAAACAGAGGGCTTTCTGCTAACAGCTTTTAATTTTTTTAAACAGAAGATCGTTTTGAGAGGCCTCTGGTAGCAGTTTTTAGGGCTGTTGTATGTTGGGACTTTTGGAAAACGGCAAAGTTCAGCTGGTCCATGCTCAGTAACTGCTTTGCCCCCATGTTTGGTGTGGGGTTGATCTCCTTCTGTGCAGCATTTGAGAAATTTCATTGAAACACGAATCCTGATGTGTGTCAGAGGACGGAGAGTGTGAGCAAAACGCAGCATTTTGGGGCCGTTTGCATACTCTGCTTGGATGCGAGCGGGGTTTGGGGTCAGCCTGGGCAGTGGGCAGCAGGAGACTTGTGGCAGATGTAAGAGTTGCCTTAGGGGACCAAACCAAAGGTCCATCTTGCCCTGTCCCCTCCAGCGACGAGGTGTTGGTTTGGGAATAGCTCTGTGACGATCCTTGACTTGCATCTGGCACTCAGCAACATGAGGCTTTCTGGACACACCAGGGGATGTCCCCAGCAGTGGGACTGTCCTCCTCGCATCATCTCATCACGTTCCAAAGCAAGCCTGGCCTCACACTTTGCAGTCGGATCGGCCTAGAAAACCTTTGAGGTTGGCTACGTTAGCGAAGGTTATTGGATGTGGCCATGGAGGTTGTCCTCACGCTGGCCTTGGGGATGGTGAGCAGAGCACCAGCACCCACAGCAGCCCCAGCCTGGCAGCAGAAGCACACAGTGGGTAGAAATCCCTCCCGAAAACGGTGCCAGCCCCCATTCCTCCTCCTCCCTTGGTGGAGGAAGGTTGGGCAGAGGAACCCCATCGGGTTAGCCTCACTGCCAGCCATCGCTCCTTCCCCTCAGGCTCTCCTGCACCGTCAGCCCCTGCCTTGCTCTGGGACGTGAGGTCCACCACCCACTCCACACGTATCCCATACATCGACTCGGGGACCATCAAAGAGAGGGGAAGGTGTTGCTGTTAATTTGTATTTAGCCCCAAAAGAGACGTTTCCTGAGCCTCCACCTGCTCTCTCCATTCAAGGTGTGGGGTTTGGGGCTGAAACACTGAGTTTTTGTTGTTACTGCACCCCACGTGGGTTGAGACGGGGTTCCCGGGTCTCTCGGTGGTGGGGAACGGGATGAGGACTAATGGACAGGGGTATTGCTGGGAGCAGAGCGCGTGAGCTCGGTAGGCTAAGGCAGAGCTATTGTCAGGTTGTAGGTGCTAAATAAAGCAGGTCCCGATTTGGCATAACGTTTGAAGCCTTTAGGATGCAAAGCAAAAGCGTCATCACGGGCACGGCGTTGTGCTGCAGCACAGATATCTGCAGCCCTCCCCCCCCCCCGCTTGTGGGGTGTCACCACAGGCCCCCCAAACCTGCGAACCCCCAAGTTGCATGTTGCAGAGGAAGGATTCCCCTCCTGGGTCCCTCCCTTTGAAACCACATTGACGTCAGGAGGATAAAAGTATTTTTGGGTACCCATCCAGCCAGGCACAGGGGTGCTACACTGCAGATAACGACTGGGAAGGAAGAAGTCATTTCAGTTAGTGCATTTTGAGGTCCCAAGTCACGCTTCTGAAAGAGGTTGTGGGACCATCTTTGATGGCACGTCATTTTTCCATGCTCAGAAAAAAGATCTCTTTATTTCTCTTTAAACATCATTCAAATTTTCAGCACATACCATCTTCCCTCATGCCATAAATCAGTGTCTGCCATCTGCAGAACAGCCATTTGCTTGTCCTAAGCTCAACCACACCATTAGCTTCGGCGGTTCCCACGTTCCTGGGAAAAGGGCAGCGAGGAGCTTGGCGTGCAGTGGCACGACCCCAGCTCCCCGTGGGCTAATTCCCAGCGTCTCAGCCACAGAAACCAAACCTCTGAGGACATGTCCTCATCCAGGGGCTGGTTCCTCCTGCCATCCATATCCATAGCACCATGTCCTCATCCAAGGACTGGTTCCTCCTCCTAGCATCCATATCCATAGCACTATGTCCTCCAAAAGGTCCGTGAAGTTCAGTAAGGTGTCTGAAGGACCGGTGGGGTGGTGGACGGCACCTAATCAACTCCTCGTGTTGCTGTTGATGCTGTCGCGCGTGGTTAAGCGGTGTCGTGAACTCAACGGGAGCTCTTATCTCCTTACCTTTGTGCTGCAGATGTCCCAGCCTGGCTGAAGAGCCTCCGGCTGCACAAGTACGCCGCTCTCTTCTCACAGATGACGTACGAGGAGATGATGGCCCTCACCGAATGCCAGCTCGAGGCACAAGTACGTCCCACGTCGGTCGTAAAGCAACCAGCCACGGTCCCGACGCTTGGGCAGTCGGTCGATGAGATGCCTCTGACGCCTTTTCGTGTCTTCATGTGGAAGGCGTTTTGCCTGCAGGTGGTTGGGAAGCAGACAGAGAAAGGAAAATTGGGTCTTGGGGAGTGAAAAAAAACCACATTGTACCTGAAAAAGGCCTTGTCCCAGATTTCTTACTGGAGTCCCAGCATGAAAGTCCCATCACTGGGAGCTGCGCTTGGGTTTTTTTCCAGTTGGGATTAAGTTCTGGAGTTTCAGGGACGCAGTCTGCCCTACCCAACTCCTTTAAGGTCAGTGGAGCTTTGGTGGCCAAGTGCCTTGTTAACCTTTGAAAATGTTCCTGCTTTGAGATTTAGCTCGGCATTATCCTCAGGATGAAGAAAGCCGGTCAGCACCTTTGCTTTCACTGTGTGAGATGTACCAGGGAAGGGCAGACTAGCTAGAAATCTCTATATTCAGCAAGTCTCTAAGTGATTTTCTATGATGTCCCCCGCTAATCCCTGCATGGACTCAGAAATTTGATTAATTTATAGCAGCCCTTTTCATTTAGGGGAGGAAGGATTTGGGTTGACCTGGCTGTCCTGTGGAAATGTTAATGTCAGGTTTTGTGCTGTTTTTGCAGAACGTTACCAAAGGCGCAAGACACAAAATAGTCATCAGTATCCAAAAGCTAAAAGAAAGACAAAACCTGCTCAAATCTTTAGAAAGAGTAAGTAATCACAACCGCTTTTGTATTACTTGTTTTTCAAGAAGCGAGGAATTAATTTTGGGGTGAAGCACTCTTCAGTTACACATATAGTTGGGATCCTTTGCAGAGAAATCTATTGTTGGCTTGGCCGCCTCTGAATGATGTCTCAAACATTTCTGTACCAGATGCAAGGTTTTATTTGGGGCTATATTTTGCAGAATGAGTCCTAATCCATCTCCACTCAGGCAGCTGGGATGGATATGCCCTGCAGGACTGGTACAAGCCCTGGCCAGCTCCAGGGTGCTCAGAAACACCTAGGCTTTGAATGATGGGGGGCACCATCCCAGCGACACCGACGGAAGGTGGTCGCCCATCTGCTGAACTGTGGTACAGGACCAGCTCTAGCCCCAACAGCCGTCGTGGTCCTCTCTGCCGCTGGAGAACCAGCTGGGCAGAGCCTTTAACCCCTGGTTATCCCTCGCCCACTTGCTTATCTCTGCCTTCTTGATGCCACCGTCCCTCTCGTGAGACCCTTCCGTGCGTGGGGTCAGCGCGTGGACCCCCGAGCCCTGCCCCTACCTCTCCGTCCCCAAAAAGAGATGGGATTTCCCGGTGTCCGTCAGGTCGAGGGCCACTGTGCTTTTCTGGAGCATCAGATGGATAACCTGTCCTCAGATAAAAAGGCAGACACCCACGTCAGTGCCTGAACAACATCTCAAATTTCCAAGGAGAACAAACAGAAACTTCTTTGTCACTTCAATAAAAGCTTAATCTCTGCAGAAATGGCTGTCGGAGAAGCAGCAGCACCACAGACTTGCTGGGAGCAGCTCACCCAACCTCTCGCTATTTATTATCGCAATATTATATTATATTTAATTGCACCATCTTCAAACAGCAAGTTGCAGAGCCTCCCACTAGGGGCTTTTAAATACTCGTGTGGTGTGTTGCTGTTTATTGGTGTTTTCGTTAGCTCACTGCTTCACTATTTATTTATAATATGGGCTTGTACTCAGAGTATGGCAGGAGCTAATAAAGCCATATTTACCTCCGTATATCGATAATAACTATTAAATCCAAGAGACAGCCCGCTGGATTGAGCTTGCTTTGGCGATGTGTTTTCCAGATGATTACACAGCCTCTTCCCCCGCTTTTCCGCCTGGGTTTTGAAATATGGTATTGATTGACTGGCATGGTGCGGGAGCTGAAGCCCAGTTCAGCTGACACAACCAGCCACGCACGCTGTAAAATACAGGCAAAAAGTGGCAGGGACTGCTTTTGAGCCCTCCTGGGGTGGGTTTGAGCTGGGCTGTGACCGTGTCCCACTGCTGGGGCTCAGAGCTGCCTGTGAGCTGCCTTACTTGGGAGGAGACGTCTCTGGTTTTCCAGGCTTCCCATCCAATTTCTTTTTGCTAAACAAGAGCATGTGTGGGACTTAATTTTTTTGGGCAGTGTCTCACTGCTAAAGATTGCTGCTTTCTTGGAAAGAGCTGCTCCACCCCTCTCCCCCAGTTAGCAGAGCAGGATTTTTTTCCCCAAAAAATAGTGCCCAGCAGACTGACACCAGGTCTTCAAGAGAAGTGGGGCTGAGACGTCCAAGAGCAAGCTGGGGGGGTGCAGCAGGAATTAGGGAGAGCAACCACGTCAGCTGGCTCACGCGCAGCCTGCGTGCCCGCTTTGTGTCTCTTCCCTAGGCACAGCCAGGACTCGCTCCAAAAGCTGCCTCTTTCCAAGCAGCGTCCCACGAGCCAGACCGTGCAGGAGCCTGCAATGAGCTCTTCTGGTCCAGGCTACATTAAAAAACAAAATGCAATTATTTCCCATCAGCGGGATGAGGATCTGACCATAGAAAGGGGTTTCTTGATCCACACTATAACCGAGAGCAAGGCTGGGGGTGTACCCAAATTCTCTCCCTCCGGCGTGGACCTCCCCCAGGATCTCCGAGCTGAATGTTTTTGCTATGGGGATATAAGTTCACCTGCAGCCTCGTGTTCTCCCCTTCTGTGTCTGACCACAACACACCCTGCTCCCCTTGAAACCCTCCCTTTCCCCTCTGCGTCCGCTCCCCCAGCCCATCCCAGTGTGGGCTCCTGCATCCCAGCGTGGTCCTGGACCCTGTGGTGGTCCCAGGGCATAAGGATGCTACGGCAAGCTCTTTGGGATTAATAGAGAGCCAGGCTTGAAGGCAGTGCTGGAAACTGGAGACAAGCCCACATTTAAAAATACAGTTCTAATTAAATAGAGCTGAAATGTCGTGAGCGTGGGATTGTCTGGGGAAGGAGCAAGATACTCGCTGGTCCGGCATTGAAATCTCACAGGCTCAGTCGCTCTCACGGAGTTGCCATCTTCCTGGTGGAAATTTGGAAAGGCTGAAGCCGGATTGTCACTGGTTTTGGGTCCCAGTGGTTGACAGGGCACGTTTATCTCTGGGGATTCAGGTCTGAATGCATCCGTGGATAATCAGACACAATCCTTGCAGCAGCTCCACACTCCCCTGGTCTAAGCAAAAGACGGGGTGAATGAAACGCGGCTGTTGACTATGGACTGCGGCAAGGTCCTGGAGCAGGAGTGAGCCTGTCAGCTTTGCTGGGGGGTAACGGTAGGGATCTGGTTCGTAGCTGATGTCCTGTCATCCCCTCTTCTCTCCACTTGAATCCTCAGGACATCCTGGAAGGTGGCAACTTGCGTGTCCCGCTGCAGGAACTACACCAAATGATCCTCACCCCCATCAAAGCCTACTCTTCCCAAAACTCGAGCACGGAGGAGCACAGCCGGGACGCGGATTCGCATCACCCCTCCTCCCTGATCGGCTCAGACAGCCAAGGCTCTGACTGCAAGGACTCTGCCGCGGGGGGGATGCAGCAGCATCAGTTGGCGGGATGCGAGGGCGAGTCGGGGGGGGCCCCTTTACCTGAAGGCGACCTGCCTGGGCAGTTCACCAGAGTGATGGGGAAAGGTGAGCGGCTGTCACTTCTTATTGACGTCCTCGCTAGGGAGAGCTGCTTCGGGGCAGGCTGCGTGCGGTGACGGTGCTGGCGGCAGCCTTTTTTCCCGAGCCCCTGCAAGCCGCGGTCCTGGGAGGGGGGATGATTTTTTTGAGGTCCCGTCGTGCCATGGTAAGAGGTAAGAGCGTGGGTGGGGAGGTGGGCAGTGATTTTTGGAAGGGGCAGCGATGGGACCAGCTGCCTGCCCCAGGTCAGAAGTGGATAGCATCCTCTCCCTGCCCCAGGTCAGAAGTGGATAGCATCCTCTCCCTTCCCATTCAGAGCCCTGGGGGCATCCCACCGGTCCGGGGGTGTTTTCAGCAGCATCCCTTAGGCTTTCTCTGCTTGTGTGGGGGTAGCACTGGTGCATGGGCTTAGCGTGAGCTGTCCTGAGTGCAGATCAGCTGGGTCCAAACCTCTTAAGTCCTGATTTAAATAGAGGACACCCAAAATACTTGGGTGCCTTTCCATGGCTGGTGCGGGGTGCACAGCTTTGCGTCAGGATTAACACACCGGGAGGTGCACAGGAGCAATGTGAGGTAGGGACCGACACCCTGTGCCATATACAGGGCTCTTTTTTAGCAAATTTGTATGAGCTTGGATGTGTCCCAACTCCCCTCGATGGGATCTGAGGTGTTGGTGCTGGCTGCGTGGAGGGAGATCTCCCTGGGGAAGAGGGGAGGGGAGTCTGGTCCGCAGGCTCACACAGGAGACCAGGAACAGAAAGAAACTCCTTGGGATGCCACAAAAAAATATCAGCCCTGTCCCTATTTCAGACCTTTTTTGCAAAAAAATAGATGAGGTGTTTTTTATATAAAAACTTGCTGCAAAATGTCTCACCAGCTAATGGACTGCATGCACAAACGTGGGTTTCTGGCCCCATTTTAAACCCACTGATGAATTCAGCCCGTGACAAATGCCTCCATCATGCACGAAGCTGTATGTATGGCACAAGCCTTGCAGGACGAGGTGTCCTTCTGGACTGCAAGGCATCCCTGCCCGGGGGCTGCGACGGGAGAGACTCGCTTCTCTGTGAACTCATTTCCACTTGCTTTTATGGCGTTAATTCCCAAAGAGGTCAAAATCCATCGGGAAAGGTGGGAATCCGTTCGCAGCGGGAGCAGATTTTGGCTGTAGGAGCAGGAGCTCTCCCAGCGCCGGCTCTTGCCTAGGAATAGGGAATAATCCTGTGCCCCTCATTTGCTCAGGTCTAATTTTGGTGACGCCACTGGTGTTACTCTGGATTTACACCATCGTAACGGAGAACAAAATCTGGTCCTAAATATAGGATGGCACGGCAGGAATTGGGGAAGGGAGTTTTTTCTCACTGATGAGAAGACCTGCCTGTGGACAAGGGAAACGGGATGTCCAAGGCGTTCGTTGGACCCCCCTGGACCCCAGCTCAGTGTCCCCATGCCCATTTCTCTTCTCTTTTTTTTTCCAGTATGCACACAACTTTTAGTTTCCCGACCTGATGAAGAGAATATAAGTTCCTATTTACAGCTCATAGACAAATGTCTAATCCACGAGGTGAGTCGTGACGGATCATCTAAAACTGTTGTTCTCATCACTTAGAAACTGTTTCCAAAGTGTCTGTTTATGTAAACCTTTTGGTTTCTAACACAAATATTTTTGGGGGGTATTAATAGTAATTCTGACAGAACAGGGCTGGAGCGGGCGGTAGCTCCAACGTGGTGCATGGAAACGTTGCCTCCCCACCCCACACTCGCTTAATTGCCAAGACCTGGAGCTGGGAAATTCATCTGGCTCTTGACAGTCCGATCAGCAGCTGGATGAAAGAAAAAAGAATCCCAGGCGGTTTCTATCAGACAGACCCGGCGATCCCTTGGCGTTGCCGCCTCCTGTTTTGCAGCACACGCGGTCCTGGGATTTTGCAACGGGGGCATCTGTTTCTGCTCCCGGCAGATCCGCCTTTGCCGCGGGATGGCTCGGGATGGCCGAGGTCGTGCCGCAGGGCTCCGGCACGCTCCTGCCCGGTGGCAGGGAAGGATGGCCGATGGCTCCGGTGTCCTGCAGCATTTCATACCCATGCTGGCTTCACCTGGCAGAACAAGCTGCTCCTCATCGCCTGCCCATATGGCAGGGGTCGGGGGGAGGTGGGACGCCCTCTTGTAGGAGCTGCAGGCTTTCTCCGTTCTTTGTTTCGAAAAAAATAACCCTGTCAAAGCACGGAAGAGTCTCCCCTGGAGAGGGCTAGTGGCTGCAAACCCCAAAATGTGCTGCACACTGCATGGACGAGGAGAGAGGCGATTTGCAGCCCCTTGCTCTGCAGCTGAAGCCGGTGCCCGAGCCACATTTGTGCAAAAGCTTGATCCGTGCATTTCTGCAGGGCCGAGCACGGGGCATCTTGAATCGGGGTGAAATAGTTGGATACCGGGCAAAATGCAAGCGCTTCATCATATTTTGTGAACTGTGCTCCCGGACACCTCTGTCGATCACGGTGGGGGTTTCAGTGCATTTTGCTGGCAGCGCTTGCCGTCTCAGCCGACGTTTGGCCCCGTGCAACACGGGATGGTGGCACCCGCTGTTCGGGTTTGCTGCAAAACAGGTTCAGAGCCGTGGGTATGGTCTTCTTGGTGCTTTACACAGACACGGGCAGTGGAAAATAGCTGGAGGGGAGAGCGTGTTGTGCTCCCACTTGCTCCCCTCTTGGAGAGCATCGGGAGCCTGGAAAGGTGCCTGGACTTTCTGGATGGCCGAGCAGGGCATCGCTGTGGGAAGAGAGATGCCAAAGAAAGGAACAAAGGTGGTGGGAGCAGAGGCCCGGGGCTCTGCAAAGCCAGGAAAACACTTTGCTGCAGAGGAGCTCGTTTTCCAGGAGCGCCCGGGATGGACGTGGTGACGCAGCATCACCCCACCAGTGCCAGGCTGTGTCCCAGGATCACCGTCTGCGTCGGCTCCAGCGTAATCAGCGCCGGGAGAGAGCATCTCCTCCCGAGGGCGGTTCGGAGCGATCAAGTCAGACGCTAATTAGCCTCCAAATTGTCCTCCGGAGACCTCCGCTCCTCTCCGCCGCCGGCGCGGAGACGTTGGGTGTCTAAAGTTAGCTGCGGTGGGCACGTGGGTGTCCCCGTAACCCACACCGCCTGCCGGGAGGTCTGGGGCGTTTCGGGAGGAGATCCGTCCCTTGCGTGGGTGACCTTCACCACGAGCTCGGGTGGGCGATGGGGCTTCACCCCGGGTGACCTCCCACGGAGGCTGTCGGTGCCAGCAACAGAGCCGAGAGGAGGGTAGGATGCAGGATGCCACGCAGCAGCTCCGCTTTCCAAATCCCAGCTTTTTTCCCACTCCGGCAGCATTTTTCTAGAGCCCTGCTCTGCCCGGGGGCTTTGGCAGCCTTGGGGCCATCACTCCGGGGTGCAGGGGACACTGCCGGAGCGTTTGCTCCACCTGAGATGAGTAAATCCTTGAGAGAGACCAGGGTTTCCCTTTGGACTTGGCCAATGGGGCTCAGCTCACGCCACCGCCTGCTCCGGCTGCTTTTCTTCACACACACACCCACATGCACATCCTTGCTCGCTTTGTCCAGAAAAATATTTATATGTTTCCTATTTTTCTCTCTTTTTTTTTTTTTGGGGGGGGGCCAGGCGTTTACAGAGATCCAGAAGAAGCGGCTGCTGTCATGGAAACAGCAGGTGCAGAAACTCTTTCGGTCTTTCCCTCGGAAATCCCTCCTGGAGCTGTCAGGCTATCGGCAGCAGAGGAGGTACGCTGGGTTTTGGGGAGGGATGGATGGGATGCAGCAGCCGGAGGGGCCGACAAGGGCGTCTCAAGTGGGACCGGTGTCTCCCAATAGGGAGGGATGGATCCTGCCAGGTTCAGAGCCTCATTTTGGGAGGGAGAAGGGTTGGAAAAGCTTCGGCAATAAAACCCCAGGCATCGGCTGGGAAGGGAAAGCAGCAGTAAGTTTGCTTGAGTGTGTGGTTGGCACGTACCCCACCGATTCCCACCGTGTCCCTCTGGCTCTGAACCCGGAGCTTCCCAGCTGTACGGCGTATCCCCGGCACTGGGTGGCCAGCTTTGTCCCCTGCCTGTTGCCCTTTGCTAATTACATCAGCGCTGGAATTTCACCAAAAAGCCGTCAACTGGCAAAAAAAAAAAAAAGCTTGAAGCCAGCAGAGGGTGCAGAGCTGGGGGGCTGCGGTCAGAAAGCCTGGGTGGGGACACGTTGCAAACACCGTGTTTGCTCACTTCCACGGTGACGCTGGATTTTGGGTGATCCCAGAAAGCATTGGGGTTATGGCAAGAACAGGTATTTTTAGATCCGTTTTAACAACAGCATCAGCCTTTTGTTCCATTTTGCTAAGTCTATATTATTGAAGTCTTGTGGAAGTTCTTTTTTCTGAAAAAAAAAGGGGTTTCGAGATAACTGGGAGCATTGGGACAGCCGGGATGTGAGGTCAGAAGGAACGAGCGCAGAACTGGAGTGTTCCCCAGTGGAATTAAATGAAATATTTTGGAATGCAAAAACAAGCAATTTCAGTGTTCATGGCAGGATCAGAAGCAGAATAGACAAGAGCAAAGGGTTTTGCTGGACCCATTTGGGTCACCAGCGCAGCGGTTTAGCTGCACATCCAGGCTGACCCCAAGCACAAGCTAAAGCTGCCGGCTTGAAATGATCCCAGTCCCTTTCCCAGAGCTGCCCAGGATGCTCTCCAATTTTCCTTGCTGCTTATGAGTTCTTTGCATTTTGCGTTTGTTCTGCTCCTGGGGAGCCGCGGGAGAGGAAGGAGCACGTGGCCAGTCTTGTTTTTCTCATGGGGATTTAATGGCAAGAGTGGTTTTTGGATGAGGTTTAAAGAAACCCCGTCGTAGTTCTGCCTAGTAAATTTATCCAGTTTTGGGATCCCAGCGTGCTCGTGTTGTCTGAAGCATGTTTGCAGCTGCCTGCACAAGCAGGAGAGATGAGGGCTGGGAGGAAGGTGAGCTGAAACATCTGCAAGGGTCATTAAGTGCTGGAGAAGGGCAAGGGGGGGAACAGGGAGCATCAAAGCAACCGCAGCTGTGGGTTTGCAGCGTGCTCCTACCCTTGGCTGTGCTTAAACCCGATAACGACATTGCAGTCCCGCTGCCCAGCTAATGGGGCAGAGACACCAAGCCAACGTTGCGCGGCGAGGAGACCCACGCTGTCTGTGTTTCTGTGGGTTACCTGATTATTTTGGTGTCATTCCTCTGATTTTAAATGCAAAAAACCCACACGGGGAGGGACGCCAGTGTGTCCGACCCAATCTTCCAAGGAGTAAAGATGATTTTGTGTCCTGAGATCGGTGTCTCGGGACGTTTGGGCTGAGTCTTGGGTCCAGATGGTTTTGGTCTGACCACAGGGAGCTGGGTGAGGGTTTGCAGTGCAGAGACGGGAGCGGGTACAGAGGCCCACCTCCACGGGCACGTGCCTTTTGCTCAGCCCTTCCCTAGGAAATCTTGGACTCGTTAGGTCATTTTAATCAAATTTTACAGAGCTTGAGAAGTCTCAGAGAGGACCGTGTTTGTAAAAATGAACGTCCTGGAAGGGGAGAACTTCAAGCCCTTTAAGCATCCCCAGTAAAGAAAACCCAACTGCACGAGCTGAACCTTTATCAGACAGTAGAGAATCCACACGCGAGAGCTCTCTCCTCTACAGCTCAAAGGCATGAAGAGTTTAAGTCAAAACCCAAGAAATCAGGTGCCGCTAGCTCCAGTGCCTAGGGAATTATCTGTGTTATTTTAGCTTGCATTTAAGAACAGGCCCATTTTGCAGGAGTAAAATCAAAAAAATTTTTAAACAGTGAATCTGAGAACTGCAGAAGAGAGGGAGGGAAGGTGACTGGCAGGAGGGAAGAAGAAAAGATGCTGCTGTGATATGCCCAAACCTCCTCCTTCCCACTGCACTTGCAGGATGGAGGATCAGCAGCATCGGGGCAGGAGCAGAGGTCACGGTGAACCCGTGGCCGTGGGATGGGTATGGGGGGACGAGCATTGGTCTGGCCCTTCACAATAACGCGACGCACCCTCGGGACGTTTGGCTGTTGGTCTGAGCACACCAACCCAGCCGCTCGCCCCCCCGCAGCACCGTCCCCTTGCAAGGGACCGATTTCTCACCCGCGGCGATTTTTCTCTCCGCAGCCGAGGCTTTGGCCAGTCGAACTCCTTACCGACAGCCGGATCTGCAGGGGCAGGACTGGGCCGGCGAAACCCCCGCCAGTTCCAGATCCCCTCCCGCAACCTCCCCACCGCCCGGCTGGGGCTGCTGGGTCCCAGTGGGCTGCTGGGCACCCCCCAGCGCAGCCCCGCCGCCAGCCCCGCCATCCTCAAGCAAGGCAGACAGGTTGGTCGACGTCACCTCCAGCTTTTTCATCCCTTCCCCATAAACTCCCTTTCCTTTTTCTCCTCTTAACTCGTCCGGATCCCCCTTTTCAAGCGAGCGAGAGGGATTTGCAGGCGTTCGGGTTGCGCTCCCCTCCCTGCAGCGGGATGCAGAAGAGGGACCGGCGGGAGAGGGGCAAAACCGAGAGCACGTGGGGCGGCGAGAGAGGGATGCGGGGAGGGATGAGCCCAAGGGCGTTATAAATATATGGCACAGAGGCCTCTGTTTTACATCCCGCACCCCTTTTTGGTTTGCTTCCCACAGAACCTCTGGTTTGCCAACCCCGGGGGCAGCAACAGTATGCCCAGCCGGAGCCACAGCTCGGTGCAAAGGACGCGCTCGCTGCCGGTCCACACCTCTCCGCAGACCATGCTGATGTTTCAGCAGCCAGGTAGGTACCAGACATTTGTTTTTTCGCTTACCCACAGCTCAGCGAGACAAGGGGAGGCTCTGAAAGGAGCCGAGCCGGGTATCTTTGACACTAGTCGGCTTACGGGATTGATTGAACCGGAGACATCACCGGAGGAATTTTGACCCTATATATAACATCTTGGCCCTGTATATAATAATGCTGGTGCCTTACCTAGCTTACTTCTGAGGGTCTTCGTTCAGGCAGGGAAGGTGGTAGCTCATCCGTCACTTTTGCTCGTGCGTGGACCCGGAGACGCGGTGCGGAGGGACCTGCCTTCGTGCAGTCGGGGGAAATTCTTTTCTCAATGTATGTGAAGGGAAACGGTGCCATGTTGGTGCTTCCTGCCCAAACACCGCAAAAAAACGCTCCTGTATATAGGAGCAAACTCTGATTCGGGGGGGTCCCTGCTGAACTTGGAGCCTGAACGTGGAGCATCTTTCCCATTAGGGACATGCATGCATTTCTCTCTGTGTATCCATTAGCCTTTAAGCCTGCCTTTTCTTACCAACACACTTACCATAACAATTTATACCGCAGGACAGGGAGTTACGCCCCCCCCCAGTATACTCAACCTCATCCGTAAGCTTCTGCCGTGGTTTCAGCTTGGCAGCTCCCCTCACGTCACACGCCTGCGGTGTTTTAACTGCATAATTTAAGCGGCAAATGTCCTGTACAGCAAAAGCAGCGTCTGTTCTCGGGTATTGATTAAACACGAAGACAAGGGCACATTTCTGCAGGAGAATAAATAGGTTTCTCTTTGCGTGTTAGCCTGCGGTGAATGAGGGCGTAGGAGGATTAGAGAGCCAAAGATGCGGACCGAGTCACGAGGAAAATAAGCAATAACGCGGGGCTGGGCTCCTGAAATACTTTTCATCAGGCTGCGGGGACCTCAACCCTCCTGGACCTCGTCCCACGTTCCTACAAGCCGGCGGCAAGCCGGAGATGCTGGCCGTCGGGAGCAAAAGCTGTATTTGTGAAGCTCTTTTTGCTGCAGAGGGGAGGGCATTTCGGTGCTGTAGGGATCAGGCCGGGGTGTTGCAGCACACCAAACTGCATTCCAGCTCCCTTTTTTTGTGCTCACCCCACCGGGGACGTGGCGTGGGTGGCTGAGCCGTGGCCGAGCCGGCCATGGAAAAGCCGGATGGATGGCGGCTCTGCCGGTCTGTGCTGCCATCCCACGTCCGAGCGCTAACCCTGCCTGCACGGGCAGCTCCCAGCCCTGCTTGAACATTTTCCGTGTATCGAGGATTTTTGCAGGGCCTGAGCGAGGGGAAAGCCTGGGGCTGCCCCTCCCAGGTCCTGCTCCCCCCTCCCCAGCATCTCCAACCAGCGCCTGAACCCCTCATTTCCATCTACCCTCTTCTGCAATGCCACCGAGTCTCCCCAGATTTACCCCTTCCCGATAAGAAACAGGGGAGCAATGACTATTTTTGCAAATATCTCTCACCAGAGGCGATTGCACAGGGAAGCGAAGCGTTGCCAGAGTCCGGCCGTGCGGTCAGACCCCCCCGGGCCATTTTTTGGGTGGTTTCCTACCCCACGTGCTCCCACGCCGGCAGCAGCAGAGCGGGCGGGGGGGGTTACGGGGACGGGCAAGCGGGGTCCCTGCCGGATCCCCTTGACCAAGATCTCCTGTCCCTTTCTCCCTGCAGAGTTCCAGGTGCCGGTGACTGAACCTGACATCAACAACAGGCTGGAGTCCCTGTGCCTGAGCATGACGGAGCACGCGCTCAGCGGTGAGCACTCCCTCCTCCTCGGGCTTTTCCAGCACATCCACGCCGCCTCCGCCGAACCCCCCGGCACCTGCCCCGTGGCCCCAAAAAGCTGGGACAGGCTGTGGCTGTGAGGGGACGGGATGGCGGCGGGGCTGGATGCCGAGATGCTCCCAGGGATGCTCCCGGAGCCGGGGGGGGGGTCGGATGGGGACGGCGGCTTCTCTCGGCGAGGTAGCTGGGGCAGGGGGTAAAAACCGAACGCGGGGCTCGCACCCAGCGCTAGTGAAGTCTGTGCTTGTTAGCCGCTAGTAAGCTTGCTAATAATAATTAGTATTAGCTCGCTAGTCTGTTATTAGTTCTCGATAAAGCCCTTGCCACCGGCGTGCTCGAATGGTTCACAGGCTTTGGAGTATTTTACCCTTCTGCCACCGGCATCCCTCATTCGGCCGAGGGGTGCAGGAGCCCCAAAAGCACGGGGCTAAAACCCTGCCGCGGGCTGCAGGGTGCTGTGCCGGGCGCTGTGCCGGCTCCTTGCCCGTGCCTGGGGCGGCTGCGGATGCCAGCCCGGGCGGGCGGATAACGGGCACGGGGAGGGAGGAGGACCAAGGCAGAAAAACAGACAAGAAAGGTGGAAAAGGCAGCGGCAGCGTGATGGAGAGCCCGCTGCGGCAAAAAGCGCCGGCACCAACAGCGCCTGGACCCCCCCCCCCCAAGCACGAAGGATGACCCCCCTCCCCCCCGGCAATGGGACGAGCACGGCCGCCGGCATCGCCCAGACCCTCCCGAATAACCAGCTCGGGTCTCGTCCCCGGCAATCCCTGGACTGGGTCGTATATACGGCTGAGGACAGGAACGCTCGGGGAGGAAGAGGAGGAGGAGGACCACCGGGCTCCCCGCAGCGATGCAACAGCCCGGGACACGAGAGCAAGGACTGTAAGAAGCAGCAGGGCCCTGGCAGTGCCACGGCAGCATCCTCGGCCGGGAAAAACAAGGACACTTCTGTCACCCAAAGCGTTTCTCCGGCGTGTGCCCAGGAGAGGCTTAGCTGTCTCGTTCCTCTGCAGGGTACTGTTCCTCCGAGTTATTTTTTTCCAGGTCGCATACCCCAAGCCTCTCGAAACCGGTCGTGCTATAAATAGCTCTTAAAAAAATAAACCTTCGGGGGAGAAAACAAAAAAAAAAAAAAAGGCGTAACAAACCTGTTTGTTTTTAGTCTTAAGGAGGGAGGCAACTGTGATGCCTTGGGTGGCATAACAGGGAGCGCTCTGTTCGGGGGCTACCCCAGGAGCCCCCCCCCCCCCCCGGCCCCCCCTCCCGGGGACGGGGGTTTGGGATGGGGGAACGTGGGGTGGTCGGGGCCAGAGGAGGGTTGGAAATGCTGTTGGGTGTTGATTCCTGGCCCCGTAAGAGCTGCTGGTGCCCGGGAGGTGGAGGAGAGGGGGCTGCTGGCAGCAGGGTCCTTTCTGCAGCTTCGGGATGGACCGTGGACCCCTCACTCCTGGGCTCGGGGCTGCGGCTGGATGCGTCCCTGCTGTCATGGGACGCTGGGGATGGGCGCTCTGGGGAGATAAAAACAACCCCTGGGGGGGGGGGGGGGGGGTTTTT